CAGTGGCACTTATTTTTTAAGTGTGATGTGGAATTTAATATTATCTACTGATAAGCCAGTTTATTAGATGGATATAATAAGAGATTTTCAGGCAGCTGCCATTAGTTAGAGGTAAAACACCCACTGCCCTTCTGTGTTGGCATTTGCAACAACCTCCAAAACACAGTGGGAACTTAATCGTGAAAGCCAGTATACAGTATGTGACAAGACAAATAAAGCCATGTATTAATTCTGGCCTTTTGAAAATATTCACTCCAAAGAAATCCAACTTTTAAAAAAGAGTTGAGGCATTTATTTCAGATCTTTCCTACTAATAGAATAGATAAGGATCAATATTTTTTAAAACAAACACTGCAAATCAATATGTTATCCTGCCCTAAAGCTAGCAGAAAGCACTCAGAAATGCAGTTGGACATAGTGAGGTGCCAGATGGTTTGACACCCCATCCTTAGAAATAGTGGTTGTCCGTGTGGTCATAGCATGTTGGGCTGTGAACCCTGTTAAAGTTCACCAGTCAAGTAGGAAGATATTTGGATGTGTCATTTAAAGTATATGTAAACAATATAGGTAGCAACTCTTGTGATTCAATAGGTGGCACTCTTCCCTATGATCAATACTGAATGATCTGTTTTTATACCTCCTCATTAGGTATGCTGCTAGAGGCATCATCTTTCAGATGAGGTGTAAAACAGAGGTCCCGAACAAATGTGGTCATTACATATTTCATGGCACACTTCATAAGAGTTAAGGTAATTACTCTAAATTCCTCCTATAGTTCTAGCTGGGAAAGGTTTGTTTCACCTCTTGTTTTAAAGAGCCATGTGATTTTGCTCTATATTGTTAAGCGTACAAAGGTAGCTAATTTCACTGGCTGGTGGTGTGATCCTAGTGGAAGCTTTGTAGCTATAAAGTGTTTTAGGATTCTTCACTTTGAAAACGTGATTTACAGTAGATATAAGACCTTTATTAAGTATATTCTGTATAAACCAGGTGTCCAGTCATGTGTCCTGTCCTCCTTCCAGTCAGGATAGTTAGTCAGACCTAGCTAGCCTTAGGGTATCCAGACAATATACTGAAGGGAGGTAATGTTTCACCCATCCTATTTGCCATTTCCCCTCCTCATCCTATTACTCTTATCCTCAATGTAAGGTGTAAGAACTGCTTCACTATTCAGAAACAAGCCCTGATATTGTTACAGTTCCATATATGGTATCTTGATGCAGTTCTGATCCTAGACAATGAAGGAAACTGTCAGACCTCTATCGATGAGGATGTTTCTAATGCTGCCCCATCACTCACTGCAAGAGCAGCATGAGCAGAGCCTTTTCCCAAAGAGATTGACAATTGTATCATTGATGCAATACTCTAAGCTTTGCCATCTTAGGAAACAGAAATCCCAAAGGGAGTCTGGAATTTAGTGGCAATATACAGTGCTTCAGACCAGTCCACCAAGTGAGATGTACAGATGGACCTTTGGTCTGACCCAGTATGGCTGTTCTTATGTAAATGTTATTTAGTTGGAAGGGTGGGTAAGGGGGCTAATAATCAGGTCATATTCAAACATCTGAGTAGCAAATCATAACACATCTCTGCCAGAAACTTGTTATCTGAACCACAGAACTCCTCTGCCCACCCATAGACCTGGTTTGGGGGAGGAGCATCATCTCCTTAACTTTAGTGTATATGGAATGGTAAGCCAAGACCTTCACCTAGCTCTTCCAATATCAGGCATCCAGCTCCTCTTAGCCATGACTTTCCAGGATGCCTTCAGCAGCATCTTTGGGTCCAGTTGTTGTCACTGTACTCTCCATTCCCTTTCTGATGGTGAATTTGGGCAGGGTAGAGAAAAGCTGAATGTGGCTTTCCCCTTCATGCTATAGCAGAGGGGACAGGAAATATTCATGTTACTCTGCTTTGTTGACAAGAACATACCCACCGTTTTGATGATGGGAATTTTGTGGCAGGGTTTTGCGATACGTTTTTTGAGCCTCAAGATGATGTGGCTGGCAATGCTGTCATGGTATCAGTTCTGATTCTCTGAGAGGCTTTACCTAATCCTTGTGCTTCAGGGGATTGTCAGAGAATTTTCTCCGAGAGGAGAAGCTGTAGTTAAGATGTTCTCTCTTACTCAGAAAATGTTCTGGGCCAAATGATATCCCCAGCATAACCTGAAAAGCTTACTGATAGCAGCACAATAGAGAATTTGGCCAGGGTCTGTGATTTTTCCCTTTTCTAATAATCACAGTAATAATTGTGCAACCTGCGAATGGTTGGGAAGGGTTGGTCTTTGTACCTGAGAAATTATTTTTTCAAGTTCGTGAGACTTTTTGAGACTTGCATTGATTCTGATTATTAGAGTTTTAAAAGGGGAATACAGGCAGCCCATGCTGTGAGAGAGATCAGAAGTGCCGACATTCCTCAAGGCTATTGCCTTCTTTAATTCTTCAGTTTAGAGTCAGTGACCTGATTGCATTTTCCTCCATTTGACACTTTATATTCCACATTTCTTCATCACATTATAGTGTAGCATATTCTATTTTAGGGACATCCTCCCTTTGAGAATGTGGCCTGTCATGTTTTTACCATTATTACAGACCTGATGTCCTTGGTGACTTAATCTTGCTTCATAATACCTTTAGGCCAATGCCCTGTTTAACCCCATTTTGACTGGCCATCCTGAGAACTTGATGATTGCCTTGTTTAATCCACCTCACTTACTCAGTGGAAGAGGTAACTGCATTTTCCTTTTTAGGCGTTATTTTATATTTCTTGTCTAATCATCACATGCTATGACTTGAAGATTATTGCCTTTGGAGTATCAATTGTATTATGTTGTCCTTACAGGCTTAAAGGGAGATTTCCCAACTGTTCACCCTGTATGTCAGATCTGCAAGCATAACTACTGTGACTGCACATTCAAATAAAAATAATGACCTAACTACAAACAGGGGCATGCAGTTTTGCACACATCTTTTAAAAGCTAGCTGGTGTATAAACACATTTTAACCCAGGTGAGAGAGGATCCTGGGGACAGAGGATGTTTATACTCATCTCATTGCTATGATTCATTTTGCACTGGAAAATTAAATAGTTGATTAGGTTATCATTTAAAGTGGCACAGCAGCTACCACTATCAAACCTGGCTTGAACTCCCAATTCCAAATATTTGTATCAAATAGGCAAATCTCTTGTGTCCTTCATTAACAAATATGCTACACAGTGTACAGTTCCAGTGTTT